GGGGGGGGGGGAACATTAATGAAAGAGGAAAAAAATGAAGCACGACCAAAAAACTGCAAACAGTGAATGACACTGGAAAGGAAGAAAGAAATAAAAGAAAAAATATGAAGAAAACCCCTAAGTTGACAGGGAAGAAGAAGATAAGACATCAGAAGGAGAGAATGGAAGAAAAAGAAAAGAGGGAGGTGAGAATGAAGAACAAAAAAAGAGATTGTAAAGTGAGCAAACTTTTACTTACAAATGTCTACACCGCACTCCTGGGAGAAAGTAACCTGATTTTAATGTACAAAACAGCAGACCTAATCATCTAGCGTACAGTTCAGTTATTCTGTGAGAATATATATATATGTTCTTCTTGAAGGCCGTGAATTTTCGCCAAGCTGAGGAAAAAAAAGAGATGGGTGTCAATTTTAAAAGCTTGAAGACTCACAACTTCATGTTTGTTTGACTGGCGGTTTATTTTATATGTTTGTTGGATGGGAAATCTTACAACATTAATCAACCAACTGCTGAACAGAAATGCAATTATGAGTCAACAAGTATATGAGAAAATATGGTGGCTTATGTGATTAATTTTGTTTTAGTAAGTGTTTTACTGCACTTGCAACACAATAAGATAAGGTCATATAAGTGCCGAAGATTAGAGGTGTTACAAGAGAGTAACATATATAAAAAAGAAGAAGGGGAGATGCAGACGACAGATGTTTGATAAGATAGAAGAAGCAGACCACACCAGAGCACCCGCCAACCACCCACTAATGTGAACTAGTATTTATAAAGACAAAGACACACACACAGACACTGAGAAACACACACACACACTCACACACACGCACTATCTCACACACACACACAGAAGCATGTATACTCAGACCGACTCACCCACACCTACCCACCCCCTACACACACGGGTAAAAACACAGACACATACACACACTCACACACACATACACACTCATACACACACACACGCACATTCACACACGCACACACACACTCACACATACACACACTCACACACACACACACATACACACTCATACACACACACCCACACCCACTCATACACACACACATACACACACACACGCACATTCACACATGCACACACACACTCACACATACACACACTCACACACACACACACATACACACTCATACACACACACACACACCCACTCATACACACACACTAACATTTACACACACACACACACACACACTTACACACACAACCACACACACACACTTAAACACACACACACACATTCACACACACACACATTCACACACACACACACACACACCCACCCACACACAAACATTCACAGACACACACACACACAGACAGACGTACCACCCCACAGAATTGTTGCATGCCCACTGTCCACACACTCCCACCCACTCACACAGACACACA